CGGTTCTATTTGCCTGCATGGCGGCTTCGGGGATCATTCCCATCGCACACAAGATGTTGGTGTTTGGGAACCGGCCGGAGGCGGTGCTGACGACCGAATATGAAGGGGTGATGGCCATGTTTTATGGGATTGGGGTGTTGGTTTATGCCATGAGAGTGCCGGAGAGGTGGTTGCCCGGAAAATTTGATCTCGCCGGACACAGCCATCAGTTTTTTCATGTCTTGGTAGTCGCCGGAGCTTATACGCATTATCTGGCTAGTGTGGTTTACCTTGGCTGGAGAGAAGGGGAAGGTTGCAGAGCCTAATTGTTTGATTTCGTGTTCTAAATGGGTCGGTAAAATTACCTCCTTGTCAATGGGTGAAATTTGTACAGGGGATTGGGGGGTGTTCTATTATTAAATATTTATTAATGTTATATTTATTTCATTTTATGTGCCCTAAAGATGGGAAGAAATAGTCTTTATTTTACAGCAAATAAAAATAATAAAAAAGTAAAATTGTAATAATAATAATAATTTTGTATCAGTAACATTTTTGTTTTGTTTAATAAATTTGATTTTTTTTTTTAGTTAAATATGAGTCGCCATGTTATCATGCATTTGCCGAAGATCAAATAAAGAGGGAAAAAAATTCATCTGATTTTTTCTTATTAATGGAAAAACATGTTTTATAAAATCATGATTTGAAAATAATCATGTTGGTGATTGTGAAATGCAAGTTGTTGATTCTTTTAGGACTTCAGATCTAATGATGTTTGTGAGTTTTGGTCAAATCCTACTAGCATTAAGGGAGTGTTTGGTAAGATACTTTTAAGAGGATTTCTATTAGCTTTAACATAAATCTAGCCAAAACACAATAACTAGGTTAGATAAATTTGGTCTTAAGTTCAATTCAATTTTTGTTTCTTCTGTTTATTACTAAATTCAATTATTAGTTGGATTTAAGGAATTTAGGGAGAGAAAAAAATATTTTAAATAGATTTATGCCAAACACATCAAATAGATTTAATTGGATTTAACCTTAATTGAACCAAACATCATATCAGATTTAATAATATTTAGATTTAATAAATTCGGATTTACCTGATTTAGTAAATCTTATTTAACTTAAATATTACTTATGTCTAAACACCCCATAAGAAAAAAAAAAGAGAAAAGATAAAAAAAGGAGGTGGAGCACATGAGAAAGAGAGTGTTGTTTCTCTCTTTCTCTCTCTATTTAAATATTTGATCTCTATTTTATGAGTCTTTGATATTTTTTTTGTCATGTTATAAGATACCAATATATAAATGTTCATAATGGGATTCTCATTTTACAGCTTCATATTATATTCTGAAGTTTTATGTCCTATTATGCAGTTTTATATCATGTCATGCAATTTTATGTCATGTTCTGCAATTTTATCTCAGATCATTCCATGAACTGAACTTGACAGTTTAACATGTGAACCTAACAACTCAATAGCTTGACAACTGAGCTTGGTAACTCAGTAGCTCCATGTGATCCAAAAAAATTAACAATACTTGACAACTTGGCAGCTCAGCAGCTTGACAACTCAACAACTTGACAGTTTTGGGAATGTTAGCTTGATATTCAACTGCTCTTTTTAGGTGTATGCGCAATACATTTAAGAAAGTTTAAAAATATTTATTAACTTCAAATTTAATATTCAATTGGTTAAGTATGAGTAATTCATTGTTTTCTTCATCCTCAAACAACCAAAGGGCTCTATTTAATATACTCCATTTCTGACGACTTCTGCTCTATTTTTGGGAAAGTTTCAATTCATTTTCCTTTTTTTCAAGTTTCCTTTATAAAAAAAGATAAATAATAATAATATATATATGTCTCCTTCACACACAAATCATACCTTCTACTTCAATTTATCATTTCTTGCACTCTTTTATTCAATTTAATTAATTTAATTATAAATATTTAATCATTTTACGACGGTATTTGATGGAATAAATACCTAATTTATAAGAAAAATATTAGAAAAAAAATGTCGGTTAGGATGGGAAAATAATGCAGATGGAGGAGGAGACCTCACACGTGGCGATTAAAGATGTCGATTTGGGAAACTGAAATTGTCCGTAAAATTAGTTGAGGAATTTTTGACTTTTTTAAAAATTATTTTGACATTAAAAACTTGTTGGTCCGCCAATTTTTTATGACGACTAAACTACAATGTAGTCGAGCTAAATTATGATGATGATTTGTCACAAGTTATGCCAAACATACTAATCTACTTTAGCTTATATTTGCAAAAATAAATAGAAAATAATCCGGAGTTTGTTAGTTAAAAAGATTAAGTTAAAATATTACTTTCTTACAAGAACGAACGTGTAAAAATTGAATCCGTTGTGCATTTTCTGTCTAGAGTCCGAACGTAGCTCTATGTGTGGACTCTAATAATACGCCGCCATGAGTGCTTATTAGAGGGATAATGAAATGAAACCATGGAGGTTATTAGGGGGTTATTTGAGGTTATCTAAGTGTTATTGCATAGGCTAATGCAGTGGGTTATTGAAGTAGAACAGAGGAGTTTATTCGGGAATTATTTCGGGTGTTATTACAGGGGGTTGTGGAACCGCTGAAGTTATTTTGGGGTTATTGCATAAGATTATTGGAGTTGAACCACAGAGATTATTGATGGTTATTAAGATGTTATTACAGCGTTATTGGAGTGAATACCACAATAGCCCCACAATAACCCTCTAATAACCTCCGCGGTTCCACTCCAATAATCGCTATGGTTTCACTCCAACAATCTACGCGGTTCTACTTTAACATTTTTTTTTAGGTGGACTCGATTTAATATACATGACGATATATTATTGGGAATCCACACTTAGAATTACGTCTCGAGTAAATGCACAATAATTGCAATAAAAACAAATGTGAACGCGTTACGCACTGCTTCTTAAAACTTTATACAAACAATATTTTGAGGCATCCCATGGAGGTTATTAGGGGGTTATTTGAGGTTATCAGAAGGATATTGCAGAGATTAATGCAGTGGGTTATTGAAGTAGAACAACGAAGTTTATTGGATAGTTATTCCGAATGTTATTGCAGGGGGTTGTGGAACCGCTGAAGTTATTGAGGGGTTATTGCATAGGATTATTGAAGTGGAACCGCATAGGTTATTGGGGGTTATTAAGAGGTTATTACGGTTTTATTGGAGTTAATACCACAATAGCCCCCCAATAACCCTCTAATAACCTCCGCGGTTCCACTCCAATAACTTCTATGATTCCATTTCAATAACGTCCGAGATTTTACTTTAATATTTTTGTAGGTCAATCTGATATAGCACATATGAAAGTATATTACCAAGAATACGCAAAAGTTATGTCTGAAGTCGGGATATTTAAATACGCAAAAATTGCAATAAAAACAAATGTGAACGCGTTACGCACTGCCTCTTAATAAATCTTTATCCAAACAATATTGTGAGGCAACCACCGAAGAATTCATGTACGTCCATAAGCACATGACAGATTCAAATCATTTTAACTTACTGTTGACCAACGAACCATTTATCTATTGCGGCAAATGCGACCAAAAAAAGTCAGCTCCAACGTGTTGACTACAAAATATTTATAAATAATTATTCAAACGGTAGAAAAAAATATTCACAATTGACTATTTGAACTTTAAAGCGACAAATAATTCAAATTACGCATATTTGTCAGTAATGGAGCGAGAAATTGACGGAAAGTTAGCTCAACTACGACTGGTCTTTTTTATTTTATTTTTTTTTTATTTCAACTACGACTGGTCTTTTTTATTTTATTTTTTTTTATTTTATTTTTATTTTTTATTTTATTTTTTTTTTATTTTTTTTTTAAATATAATTTAGTCATAAGATATGAAAATAATATAATAATGGGTCTTCATATAGAAAGTATGCGGGGGCAGAATTATAATTACTTTATTGGTCATCAAAGGTCTAATTTTATTAATTATTACCCTAAATATATGATGAATTCTTATAGCAAAAAATTATTACATTAAGGGCCCGTTTGGGGCAGTTTATAAGTGCGGTGGCGTTTTTGAAAAACATTGTTTAACCGTTTGGTTTGCGTGTTTTTGAAAATGTTGCTTGCCGCGTTTGAGTTTTTCACACTAAACGCAGGTCGCGGGTCGACCCCCGCGATCGACATGCAGGCTACCCAAACAGACTTTAAATGAAATTGTTTAAGATAGTGGATTCATAATGAAAATGTAGGAAAATCGGATAAAAATATGATATGTAGTCAACGGTGCAACTGAGAAAGTGTCGTTACATCTAAATTTTTATTAAATTAATTAATGTCATATAATAACTTAAAACTTTGTCCCTTAAAAACTTAATGATAATTTAATATTAAATATATGGTTAATTTAATAATAATTTTTATAATAGCTTTTTAAAAGAAATTAAGAAGATGAAAACTTTAAACATTAAGCGTATCATTATTTTATCCTTTAAAATGTAAAATAGATCATTTCATGCATGATTAAGATGGTGTATTTATAAAAAATCATTTCTTAGAAAGTAAAATACATGAAAATTAAGTGGTATGTATATATAGGTAAATCTTCCATTAGTCACGCACGCCATCTACTCCTATAATTTTCTTATAAATATTAGGGAAAAATTCATGAAGTCTTTCTGCGCGTTCAATTTTATCAAGGCTCTGTTTGGTGCAGCTGCAACTGCGCTGCCCCATGAAGCTGCTGCGGGAAAGCTAGTTATTTATTTGGTGCAGTTGTGTGAAAACATTTTTGGGGCAGTTGTTTCTGAAAAAGTGACTATGTTGCCCTTGTTTGTTAAAACTGTTTAAAACAGAATTATGATAACAATATTTTTTATAACAATATCTTTCCTCCAACCTCCGCCGCACCCTTCGCCCATTGCTCTGTTTATCTTCTCCCATCTTTCACTCTCTCGCCCTAGTGAGAGCTTCGGCGTCGAGAGGGTATTATAGCGCTTCGAACAGCTGCCCCATGAACGCGGGCCGCAGGCTTCAACCCACGGCGAGCTTTTCGCCAGATTAGCGTCCTACCACAAGCAGGATGCCGAAAAAAACAGTAGAACTTCGTGTCTCGTCGCCGCAACGCAGGGGGACCACGGTGCCAAACGGACCCTAAGTCACATTTGACTATTGGGCCTCCACGTATGAACACTATTGGAGTCCATACATTAGCCCACTAAGTCTCATTAGAAGAAGCCCATATTAAAACACACTTGTCAAACCAGCTTGGGGTAAACCTAAACAAGCTCAACCTCCCAATAGCATATATTACATTCTTTGTCTAGTAAATAATTTAGAAGGTACGAATGAATATGTCTCATCTGAAATTTATGTTTCGAAAATAAATAAATAGAAAATTAAATCTTCGATTAAATTTTTGCTTAAATTAAAGCTCTAACAATATTTAAATTTATTTTTTATTAAAAAAATAATCAAACTCTAGAGTCTTTTTTTTTCATTTAAACATGACATATAAAATCGTCCTCCATTAATTTATTTTTATATTTATCAGTGGTCTGAATTTATACACACACAAATATATATATATATATATATTACTCTCCATTTAAAAAATTTAGAATACTAACACCAGGTTTAAAAAAATAATATTTTTCACAGCTTTACAATCTTCTAAATGAAACAAGCCAAAAATTACAAAATGCTATAATGATATTAATCTCCCTCTGTCGTAGCTTGCTTCGTATAGATGACACATTTTAAAGCAAACCCCGCCTGATTAGTGACGGCAATGCTAATAATTAAGAGGAAAAATACAAATTAGCCTGCAAATTAGACAAGAAGGGCAAAAAAGGCCCGAAGCTCCAAGCCAATGGTGCTGTTATATCGATGCAGAGAAGATACGTCCCTCTCCCTTCGGTCCACGAAACACGCCTGTTCTGCCCCAGTCAAAAGCCACCTCACACCAGCTAGCTGCTCTCTGCTTCACACACGAGAACGACAAACCAGCACAAGCAGCGAAGGAGAGAGAATGAGAGAACCCTGCTTCTTCTCTCTTCTTCTTTTCCCTGCTCTTAATCTTCATGACTGCCTGAGCATCTCCTCCGGTTAAGATTAAGACTATTGTATAGTTTGCAATGGCTATATCTTCTAAGCTTTACTGCGATGAGGATGCCGATGCGTTGGTCTCCTGGGGGATGGAAGACGCCGTCGGAGAAGTATGTGCCGACGATTGTATCCCGACTTTGTTTCCCATCAATGGCGAGAGGTTCCGCTCTCTACTGGCCGCGGAAGCTGGCTATATGCCACAATCGGAGTATGTCTCGCGCTATCTGTCCGGTTCGCTTGACATCACCGCTCGCCAGGATGCGATCAACTGGATCCTCAAGGCATTTCCTTTTCTTTTCAAAATCGCTATTAGCTTGATAGAAATCACTAAAATTGTTTTCTTTAGTTATATCTTTCTCGCTTTGCCAGTTTATAAGCTTTGCATTGTGTTTCTGCATGCTTCTCCATTACAGGTATCGGAGTTCTACCGCTTCCACCCACTCACCGCATACCTCTCAATCAACTACCTCGATCGCTTCCTCTCCCTCAATGCTCTTCCGGTGTTATATCTCCCCCTTTTCCTCTCTGCCAGCTGAAGTTCAAATATTTCCTTGATTTGATCAGGATTTTTCATGGCAGCAGCAGAACGGGAAGAAGCACGGCGTCGGCAGCTGGACAATGCAACTCCTATCAGTGGCCTGCCTCTCGGTGGCGGCGAAAATGGAGGAGACCCACGTCACCCTGTTTCCAGATCTCCAGATTTTTAACCCCGAGTTTGTCTTCGATCCGCGAACGATCTGCCGCATGGAGCTGCTTCTCATGTCCGCATTGCGTTGGCGAATGCGAGCCTTAACTCCGTTCGATTTCATTTCATACTTCGGCGCCGCCATCATCTTATCCGACGACGGCTCTGTTCACCCACCTCCTTTCTCCCGGTCAGCTGATCTGATTCTCAGCACCCATCGGGGTAAAAATGCGAACTTTATCTTACTCAATCCGTCGACTGAAGTCTCACGACTTTACTGCATTTGCTCTTTCTTTTCTCCTTGCAAAAGCAGTGGTTGATTTTCTCGGTTTCCGGCCATCGGTTATCGCCGCTTCGGCGGTCCTTTGCGCCGCTTCAGAAGTTCACAATTCCCCTGCAACTTACGACTCCAGTATCTTTGACCACTTGGTCAGCAAGGTAATTTCGAATGTCACAGTCTTATTTCCCTTCACCTTTGGCGACGGTACTCTTCAAATACAAGAAGCAATTTTTCTGCGTTTTGTGCAGGAGATGGTGAGTGAGTGTCGCCAGCAAATGGAGGAATATCTGATCGACACCTGTCCAATAGATCGGCGGGGGATGACCGGGGGGCCTTCACGCAAAGCCCCGTCGGCGTTCTCGACGCGGCGGCTTGCGGGAGCTGCCGCACCTTAAGATCATCCGCCGCCGACGAACCGAACCAGCCGCCGGCGAAGCGTAGCCGGCTCGATGATAGCTTCTGTACATAATTTGAAGTAGGGATAATAAGAGTTGTGGCTAAAATCATTCGAGATAATTTAATCAAATCTCAGACATATTTTCTGTTAATTTGGGAGATTTTCTCCGTTGGTAACCTGGCCGTTATTAAGATGACAGTAATTATAATTGACTTTAAGGAATTTAACTTGTTTAAGGGCCCGCTTATAGGTGCAGTGGTATTTTTGAAAATGCTGCCTAATTATTTGCTTGGCTTGTTTTTGAAAATTATTGTCTGTCGCATTTGAATTTTTTATAACAAATGATAGTTGTGGGTTGACCCGCGGGCTCTTTTCAAGATAAACATTTTATCCTGAAATACACAAGTTGTCCCAAACAAATCATAAAATGCAGGAAGATTTACATACCTACCACTTATTCTTCATCAATTAAAAATTTATTAAAAATTAATTTACAAATACACAATAGATTACTTATATATGAAAGTTGTATTTCACTTTTTTATAAGTTTAAGTAATGATATTTTTTATATGAGTTAAATGTATATGTTTATAAAAAAAATTAAATTTAGGGTCTGTTTGAGGCAGTTGTTGATAATTTATAATCTGTTGATAAGTAAATTATTCTGATAATCTGTAGATCATCAGAATAAATTGTTTTGTTATTTGTTGGAGTTTCTTTCATCAGAATAAATTGTTTTGTTATTTGTTGGAGTTTATTTAGAATAGTTTATTGATAGATGTTGCTGGATAAATGATCATTATGCTCTTGTTTGTTGAAACTGCAGAATTGAATGAGCACAAAAATAGATTAAACAGAAACTGCAAATTATAACAGATCAGTTCAAAAAGATGACATAAAATATTAAGCTCGCGAGTATTAGAAGAAATAAAATAAAGATAATCAGTTAGTTCCCTGTTCTCCTGTGTATTTATTTAGTTTTCGATTGCAAGCTATTACTCTTAGAAGTTGGAAGGAACACCTTTAAAAGTAATTCTTTCAATGGAGGATTTCTCATCAAAGAGTTTATACATATGGGACATTTACATTCAAACCACAATTCTATAGATGGATGGATGCATATAAAGAGAGGGAGAGAAGAAGAATGACATACATAGCACTCAATTCAAATTATAAGAGGCCGCGAGACTGGTGGGCAAGCAATGGGATTTGACACCAAAATCCTAAGAGTGAAGGATCATTGATGTATTAATACTTATCATCACAATTGTATATCCATTATCACACAACATCAGAATACAAATCATTTAAAGCAAGGGAAAAAGGGAAAAAAATCAGTCTTACCATTCTACATCTCTTCCAAACCTATAAAACAAATTTTTCTTTAGTCTTCTACTCAGACAAAACAGAGGAAAATATATGACCAAACAATTATACGAGTAAGAAATCCCAGTTGAATCAAGTTAGGGCAATTCCTTGTATAGTTAACAAGAAATTGAACCCATATACGCATCTCAATCAAATTGATCTCTCTTATTACTGTTTGGCCCCAATTCAAGTTTCCATTGTTATATGATTTATTATACACAATAGCTAGCACTCATGCTGTTTTCCAAAATGTGAAGAAAAGAAACCGAAACATTCCTCAAGGTTAAATAAAAAAGTATTCAGGTCTAATACTAAACATCTAGCCAACAAGCTAAAAAAAAACACAGGACATTACTCTAAATTCCCTGGTTTCACATATTGTTGAGCTTAGATGGCAAAATGAAATGATCGCAGCGGGAAGGAAATCTGCAATACTGGCATCTGCACATCCTGAGATCTTACAGTGCAAAGGAAGCTCCTACAGGAGCGGGAAAAAATGGCCGCAATTTCCTCCCCTCCGACACGGATGAGAAACCTTTGAGCTTTCGATTATTCGCTGAAGCAGGCGATGCAAGTAAGATGCAGCGATGATCGTCGTAAAGCACTGCATTGTTCCAGGTAACTGTGGCGAGCCGAAATTGAAGTAAAGGGAGACAAGAGAGCTTGCGTGCGCGAGCTAGGGCAGCCTGCCAAGCGACTCGAGAAGAGAGCAAAGCGAGAGAGGCGAGGCCCTGAGATCGATCGTGGGATGAAACGCTGTAAAGAAACGCCAGCCGCGGGGCCAATCCCACGGCCGTGATCTTACCAAATGTTCGTTATATGTCATGCGTTTTTTAGTCCCCCGATCAAATGCGAGAAACAAACAAAAGTTAGGCGTTTTGAAAACGCAAGACGCAAAAATAAGCTGCCCCAAATGGGGTCTTAGTTGTTACATTTGTAAATGCATATAAATTTGGTGATCTATGTGAAGCACTCGTATTTGACCTTGAATCACAGCATAAAAATGAGAGAGATATAGAGACTAGTACAATATATTTTAGGTATTTTATATATGCTAGCCTATTACTCCCATGCCTTGTGATTAGATTAATTGAGTTATCATAACTTCGATTTGATGATGTTGGTCTGGTTAGCTTGACAGAGTAGGTTGAGCAATCAACTGTATTTGATTAACTTTGGATCAACATGACTCAAATAGTTGGGTTTTACGGATGGTTGGACTTATCTAACTGTCTCGACTTCTGCAAGAAGGATTTTTTGTCGGCATAAGGAGATTAAACTATTGAACAAATACTAGATCAACGTAGCCAGATATATAGTTCATTCCTTAGCGACAGAGGCATTACGGGCAATTGTGATGCAATATTGTACTGCAAATTCTTAATTTTTGAGGAGAAACCTTGAAAGTGCCTGTGGTATGTCTTTTTAGGGTGAGGACCACGATACTTTTATCCAGTTGGATTTGCTGAAAGTAGGTTGATACATTCACTTAGTTTTCTAGTAGTGGTTGGTTTGGATGTTGATCTATCAATTTAAGTTTGAGCAACCCGTACAAAGATCATTCTTTTTGTCCTTCTCTTGCTTGACGGGTCATTGTCCTTGGCTTGAATGATTGCATCCAACGGAATAACATGGGTTGTTGTTCTTTTGTCAGTGGGTCATTCTTTGTTATGCTTTCTTCATTTTGGACCAATGGATTTCTTCGAGATAAGTGCTTGCATGTTCTTGATGTATAATATGCAAAGCTTTGGTTAGTTGTAGAAAATTTTGCACTATTCCCATCTCATTTCATTTTTAAAGGATAAAGCTAAAATGTCCCACTATAAGAAACGGTTTATTTTTTGTTGAAATAATTTTATTATTTTTTATTAAATTATTTTAATAGAGTTGTATATTTTGAGTCAAGTATTTCTCTTAGGCCTGTCGCAGTACATAATTGTACCATTCATGAGGACCACTTAAACTTGGACATTGGTAAACTCAACATATTACCGGCCGAGCCATTTTGATGTTTTACTGGTATTTTTACTAATAGTTTATTTTCACAAAATACTCTTTATTATTTGACGCTTTTGATTATTGAGGAAAAGAGTTTAACAAAATGAAAAAAATTGTCTGATTGAAAATTTTAATTGAAAGTGGAGAAAATTTTCCTTTTTGGTAATTTGCAAATTTGCTCTTTGAATGTTTGTAAAATGAATGTGTGTGTGAGTTTATATATATATATATATA